CGCGTTATGAAAATTTATTATAAAATATCAATTATGTGGCCAGATCATATCTGAAAATAACCAGGTTGCTTTTGTACACAATTACTCTCACTGAAAGATATTATCGCTAACCACAATAGAACCGCAAAAGTCTCGCGATGACAGCAACCTAACAGATAAATGACATCACCCCATAGCAACCGGACCTGGCGAATTTTTCAGCTTCCGGTTAGTTCTGGCTCGTGATGTCATGAGACAAACGATAATACACTTAATTAAAATGACCTCTAGTTGTTACCTTAAACAAGCTATCATTATTATGGGTGTTTTTGCTCTTAGAAAATTGAGGTTGTCTTTGATGCAAGAAAAAAATAGAAAATGTTTGTGAGCTAAATGTTGTCGTGATGTACGTCATCATCTTTCTATAAGTAGTTGCATAACAATCTTATTTTTTAATATAAATATAGATGTGGCCCGCCTAGATTAGCCCAGGCTACCTGCGGGTTTGCGTTGTTGCTATTATCAAGCATTTTTAACTTAATGTGTATATCTATTTCTGTAAAAATTGTAAATATGCGAGTCATTATAATAAAGTTGTTGTTGTTGTTGTACAGTTTTCTTAAATTGTTGGTACATGTAATTGAAGCAGTATGTCACCTGGGGAAGCACACATGTCTAAGATAATTTCACTGGGATGAGGATCCAACACGTGTCCAACTACAACAGACGGCAAGTTCTGAAGGAACAGTAAATGAGGAAGAACTCCACTCAGTGACGGGCAGCTAAACAGAGGGGACGTCATACAGACTGCCACACCACTACAAAAACAAACAGAAAATGGAAAGTTTTCCTAGCCTTGCATAGCTCCTAAGAAGAGGACCATATAATGTATTTTGCGGGTAACATTATAGAGCGAAAGCTTTACCTGTTAATTTTTTGCACTGGAATATGTGAATGCTCGAGGTTACCATCCTGGAACCCTGATCAAGCAGTACAGGATTCAAGCCCTGACCAGCATCATTGTGTTGTGTGCTTGGGCAAGACTCTTTCTCTCCATCCATGTGTATAAATGGGTACTGGCAAATCTCAAGCTACACTGTAGGGGTACCCTGTGATGCACTAATGTACCATCCCAAGGGGGTGCAGAGATACCTCTAGTCACTCAGTGGTACAGAAACTAGGATAAACTGTGTACAGCCATGGCACCATGCAGATTTTCCCTTACCTTACATTTTGCTGAGAGCAGAAAATCTCCTTCCTGGCAAGCACAGCAGTTCCATTTCCAACAAACACCTTTTGGCCATCATAGGGTTTGGTTAGACCCTTACGGCATTTGCCCTCCAGATCAGCAAACGCTGACACTAAATCTCCTCTTTCAATACCTGATATTAATAAAGATGCTTTGAATATTCTTGTATACATCTCTGCACAGGCTTGATGCTTGATGAGTCTAGCTCAGACAGATATAAAGGCAAGCAAACCATCACAAGCCATGTGGACAACAACTGCATAAAACAACTTGGAGTGTTGCTTACATGGCAAACTTCAGACAATTTTTTTTTCCAAGGGCTTTTCAAGAATCCTCAAGCAGTTGTTTTCCTCAGAATCACACAAAATTTTTCTGGTTAGGAACATAAAATACAAAATTATGTACTCACACAAACCCTATTGAAGGCAGGATTACATTGTTTGCTACATCATACACTAATTACTAACTTCAGTAAAACTTAAATTAACTTTTTTTGCAACTACAAACATTTTCCCTGATTTATAACCGCCCCTGCCCGCGAGTACAAAGCTAGTTCATAGCAGTCCCTCCCCCTCCCCTTTTCCCCTGTACTGCTTACATTTTGTCAGTTGAATTGGTAGGCTTAGATAGGGGGGGNGGGGGTGAGTAGAGAGGGACAATTTGGAGTGCAACACTCAAGCCATCATGTCTACCCCAGAAAACACAAGATGGAATCTGACCTTACCAGGGTGGGCTGCCATGACACCAGGAGCATAGATATCTGCACCTCGGAGTATAGCGGCACCACAGTGCGAGTCAACAATGATCTCCTTTGAAGCTGGCACAAGATCATCTTTTGGACCAGAACCATGGATCAACAGAATGTCCTTGACCATGTGATGCTCTGTCACTTTGTAATGACATTGTTCTCCTTCCTTGCCTCCCTAATTACAAACCATAATGAGCAGATACATATAATTTAAATATTACCCTTTACTTACTTTTCAAACTTAACTCTCTTAATTTGAAAGCTTGCTTGTACAGAGAGAATCATTGAATCAAGTTCTGCTAAGTTCACCTAAAGTGGCCTATACAAAGAGGCTCTGCCCAAATTTTAAAGGGGTACTTTTCTCAGGCCTCAGGTATATAAAAGGGAAAGGAAATCTGTCATTTAGGTATTTAAAAAGGCCTTTAATTAAAAATATTCAAACAGATGCACCTTATGCATACAGCTGTGCCATTTCATTTCTTAACCCATTGACACCTGGAGCTTATTGGCAGAAAAGCATTTTTTAGACATTTTGGTCATTTTTAGCCTCAATATGAGCCAAATCACGGTAGCTCCAATCTACTCAAAAAAGACATTTGCAACATAACAGCATGCCTTTCTTTCCAACAGCATCGCTTTTTAGGACATTTTTGTTTGGGTATGCAAAGGAATCAAAATTTCAAGCAAGTGACCTATGTCTCTAGGCTTTTTAGTTTCTTTCATTTTTTTTTTTTTTGCCTTTCCTTTTTCTCCTTTTCTTAACTTTTCACTGCAGTGGTTGACCTTCTTCTAGGCTTACTACCAGTTCAAGAATTTCTGAGAAAGCATCAAGACGGAAAATTCTTTCCACAGAGTAGCCAAGTGTAGTTGAGGGAAATTTTGCTCCAAGTTTTTTACTCCAATTCCTAAGCATTTTCGTGCATATTTCAGGCTCAATTGACCCAATCACTGCAATCTGGGTATGAATGGAAAGATCTTTTCCTCCAGCAGAACTTGAGTATATGGGAAGCCAATTTCGGTCAAAGGTGATGTCAGAAGTGAGAGAAAGGCCAGCGCTTTTCATGGTCGGTTACAGCCCACACAGGCATAATGGGTAAAACTCCGCATGAAAAAGACAAGATTTCCCTTTTTGGCAATTTATCCAAAGTACGGGCCAGTTATGAAATCAGGTGAAATGGACCCTTCTTTCTAATAGAGGTATACAAAAGGAGTATCTTTTCTCTCAAAATGGTATACAAAAGGTAAAGGGTTGGAACTCGAGGTAAAACCTCCCAATAGAACATTTTGTAGAGTACACCACCGGGATTTCTACATGACACAATAATATTCTTCAGATGTTTTCCTGCAACACACCTCCTCCAGAATCTTCTGCAACTGCTGCCGAGCTTCATGTACAGTTGTCTTCAAAGTGTTAACTCGCACAACAGTAAACAGTGGTGGAGTGCTGAGTGTATCCAGAAGTTTATGAAATCCCTCAAAGTTGTCATTCAAATAATGTTCCTGTCTTAACAAAATAAATCAGTTCCATGTGTTTCTTATAACATTCTTTGTTTTGTCTGCAACACATAAATTGTCTGGCCCAGGAGGGGGGCTCCCATGTAAAAAGGACAGGGGGTGCTCATCAGAAATTTTGAAAAGAGCCCCCAAGAGGTACCAGGGTCCGTTTTTGTTGGTGTGGCTTGAATTTTTCCACCCCTGAGAGGTACCAATTCTAAAACAACATATCACCTCCTGTCCTATTTTTTTCGGCTCACCACTGTTAAGAGGTACCAAAACTGCAGTTTTAACCCCTAAAATGTATGACCAGCACCCCCATCCTTTTTATATTGGAGTTNAGGTGAAATGGACCCTTCTTTCTAATAGAGGTATACAAAAGGAGTATCTTTTCTCTCAAAATGGTATACAAAAGGTAAAGGGTTGGAACTCGAGGTAAAACCTCCCAATAGAACATTTTGTAGAGTACACCACCGGGATTTCTACATGACACAATAATATTCTTCAGATGTTTTCCTGCAACACACCTCCTCCAGAATCTTCTGCAACTGCTGCCGAGCTTCATGTACAGTTGTCTTCAAAGTGTTAACTCGCACAACAGTAAACAGTGGCGGAGTGCAAAGTGCATCCAGAAGTTTATCAAATCCTTCAGAGTTGTCATTCAAATAATGTTCCTGTCTTACCAAAATAAATCAGTTCCATGTGTTTCTTATAACATTCTTTGTTTTGTCTGTAACACATAAATTGCCTGGCCAAGGAGGGGGACTCCCACTTAAAAAGGACGGGGGTGCTCATCGGAAATTTTGAAAAGAACTCCCAAGAGGTACCAGGGTCCAGTTTTGTTGGCGTGGCTTGAATTTTTTCCACCCCTGAGAGGTGCCAATTCTAAAACAACACATCACCTCCTGTCCTATTTTTTCGGCTCACCACTGTTACCGCAAAAGCTTCCACTGTGGACTGTTTGGGGCTGAATACCCTAAGAGGTACCAAAACCACAGTTTTAACCCCTAAAATGTACGACCAGCACCCCCCGTCCTTTTTATATTGGAGTCCCCCCCTTGTTGTTTCACTTAGGGGTATAAATCACACATTTTGGACTTACTTAGGGTCTGTTAGGGTTCAGGTCCAAACTATCTTTTAATCGAAACTATCCCCGACCCTTCCACACGGGAATACCCGCCAATTGCTTTTTGGAACATGAAGGTTCCTTGCTAATGAAAGGTATTTAGGGAAGTGTACCTTTCTCTGCAACCTTATGTCTCATTTAGAGTCTATACCCTTCCTTATTCAGGTGGATGAAAATAAGTGCTCAGTTTCTCTGCACTTCAGGTTGATACTAAGAGATGTCACCTCTGTGATCTGGATGGTGATTTTCGCACAAATATTCTTATCACTGAAGCAATATGAAAGCGTATAAATTACCTCTCTAGGAAACAGGGAATTTCTCAAAAAGTCTTCGACTTCAGGGAATAAGAAGGACAATTTTGGAAGACGATGTGACATCCTCAAATGGCCGCCATTTTTTTTTGGAACTAGTACCCAGTTCCGCCGAGCAGTAGTGCCCGTGGGAGTGGGTGAGGACAAAGAAAAAGGAAGTCATGTGTAGGAGAGGGTGGGGAAGGAAGACGATACTCACCCCCGGCAAGAAAAGGTTTCTAATGGAGGTTATGCATGGCAGCCATGTTGCATGGCAAGACCAATGAAAATGTTTTGCATTAGGAAGAACATTTTTCCCCATAGGAAAAAGAATTTATTGCTCCTGCCATGCAACATGGCTGCCGTGCAAAACCTCTATACCGCAGATTTCGCGAGTGTCTTCGGATCTTTATTTTTTATGTTCGTGATCATTTCGCTTGGAAAATGCCCTGATCGAGTGACTCTGAGTGACTGAATCACTGATCGATACCAAGCAAGCAGCGACCTAAAAACAGAATCAAAGCGATCATTAAACAATACCTGCATTACTGATATTTGGATAAAAGATCTAGGAAACAAAAAAACACAATCTAGTGTTTCTTAGGTTAGGCAAAAGGCTTTTCCCCAAATGTGCTCCATTGGAGTAAGAGTTCGTGATATTTTGTGTTGATACATGACTCCAGAATGTCTGAAATGTGCAAAATTAAATTCACGCTGCATACGTGATGAAAGCGATAGACCGAGACTCACGAACAAACAAACGTGAAGATTAAACGCTTTTATAAGAGTCAAAACCTGAGATAGAAATCAGCAAGGATGATTTCATACTGACAGCTTTTGGTGAGCTGTGTTATATTTATTTTTCCCTTCGAGTGATGTACATGTTCTACTTTGTCTTTTTCATTTATTTCTTTTTTGTTTCTGTTTTGAACATAGTGATATTCATTAAGTTCATTTTTACAGGTAAGATGTGAATAAACAAAGGATTTCTAATTGATTAATCTCTAAATTAAAGCCCGAGGGAAAAGGTGCAGGTACTAATGATAGATACTCAATTATTTCTCTGTATGCAATAATAGACAAGTGTCACTTATGACGTCATGCATCAATTATCGCCTATTATTTGAAATATTTCCGGCGTGTAGAGAGAAAATATAATATCATCTCCAGGGTATTACGATCATTATCAAAGAACATGTCGTCCGTCTTGTTGTGAGATTATCATTTTATGTGAGCGAACATGGATGAAATCGAAAATAACACAAACAATTTTTCGGGGCAGGTAGAAACTGTCGATACGAACGCCGGTACATCGAAAGGCTGGCAAGTATTTCAAATAATCTTTTGGACGTGGCTGAGTGCAGCGGCTGTCATCGGGAATGGCTTGGTGTTGGTTTGTGTTCTACTGAAAAAGCGGCGAAATTCATCCACGTTTAAGTTCTATGGAAGTCTGGCCTTGGGAGATCTACTCGTAGGTTAGTACAAAAGCAACCAAGCGAAGGGTTAAGGCCACATAATAGAAAATAAGATACATGTTTATCAAGTTGCTCAAATTACATGTAAGTATTATGCAGGGTTTGGAATACATATTGTAACTCTCTAATTGGTAAACATTTACTGCTACCAAGCTGTTTCGCATAGTTTGTTAGATATTGGACTAACTTTAAACAACAACGACAGCTCTAAACACTTCACAACGATCTTGTTCATGCTTGATCGTGTATAACTGCCATCGATATCTGTAAGAACGTTTAAAAAAAATTATTCACGCAAAATACAAAACTTTATAGCTTTCCACATGGATCAATACTGATACGATTAGCCTTTTGCAAGTGGAAAATATTTTCATCACAGTGGTCAATATGAATTCTTTTTTCAATTTAGCCACGCAAGTCGCTGCGCGAACATTTTTTCAATCAACCGCATAACTTTTGTTAATAATCCGTAGTAATATTGAGCAAGATTGACAGAGCTAAAACACAAATGACAGTATCATGGTGTCATGTCCTCCGGTCATATCGACACTGGCTGAAAAGACCTGAAAAGAGTTTTCGTGGCCTCTGCTCTCTCAATCGATTCGAAGGTTTTTTTGCAATGCAAACAGCGAGGAATTATTATTTGCTTTCCATTAACTTTCGAAACAATAGATATTCGTTGCGGACACTCGCTGCGTCCCGCATTCACATGGAAAATTAATTACGGTATTCAAATTCGCCATAAAACAGGAAGTTGACTGCGTTATAACATTAAGTTTTTTCACCAATCCCACTTAATAGTCGGATAGGTATTTATCACGAGACACGCGCATATATAAAGAATTTTGCTCCGTCCAGATAATTGCACATTTTGCAGAAGTACTTCTTAAATTTAATAGCAGGACGTAGGTTGTCGATTTAATTAAGAAATACACGACAATTCTTTAGAAATGTAAAAGAACTTGTCGAACCTGGTTTTATCAAACATCCTTTAGCGTAAAGAGAGCGTGAGTGCTCTTATATTAAAGTTGCAACACCGTAGCCTGACATTTAGTGACGTCAGCATATCACGTTCGATCGCGAAACTGAACTCGCCTGTCAGGTCACGCGATCCTCTTCAACGACAGGGACAGAGGAGTAGTGTTATATATGATCTAATTTCCAGTTAATTTCAATCTATTTTGTTGATTCAAATCATTGTACATGATCAAACTAAGGGTCATGTCATCGTGTTACTGTTGACATCTTATCCTTCTTATCATAGTTAGTCCCCCTTACTATTAAAACTATGATCTTATCAGACTCGTAACCTATCGCATAGGTTGCGCTTAGGACGCTTAGGTTGATCACGTACAATAAATATTGATTTGTGCCACAATCTTGGGATGTAGGATCAAATACGACTCCTCGATCCCTGTTCCCTTTATTGTGATGTTTAAAACTATCTTCAAAACGACAGAAACCTAAAAATAAAAGCAGTCAGAATGGAAGTTAGAGGTCAAGAAATCTCTCGCGCTGTATGTAATTAAGATTAGCCTGTTCGTAACCTCTTTTTCTATTTTTTCCAGAAAACGGCATTTGAAATTCCTATTCTTGAGCAAGTTTTAAAGTCAAGAGTTGTTCAATTTTTATCTCAGCGCTTACGACAGGCGTGGCCGAATGGAAGTTCGGGCTATTTTCTTCTTTTTAGCCTTTCCTTTCTTTCGTTTCGTTGACGTCAATCTGCTGGCTCATTGTGAAAGAAACGAGTGTGTCCATATGTGTGAAAGAAACGAGAAAGGATTCTGTATCTTAATATTACGAAAGCGCGCAAGAAAACTTCTCTTATTCTCGTGCGCTAGCCAGTGGGTTTCTACCATTGTTATAACCAGTCAGTAATTGCAAGTGGTATTTTCAAATCATTTTTATCTGTAACTTTACCTTCTTTTCTCTTTTATTTTTGCCCAGGGATATTTGGCGCCCCTGTGCTTTTGGTGGTGGCATGTCGCCAGCAATGGAACATGGGATATGCTCTGTGTAGGGCTTATTCCACGGTGATTTCACTTTCTCTCAATGTGTCAATCATGACCTTGTTTCTTATCAGCTTGGATCGTTTGAATGCCGTGTCCAGGCCCTTTCACTACAGAGCCAAGGAAACGTTCACGCAAAAGTGGACTTTGTGGTTCGTTCTTTTCGCCTGGCTGCACTCCATATTCTGGGCCTCGGCGCCCTTGGTGGGCTGGGGAGAGATTATCAAAGACGAAATCACCAACACCTGCAAGCCTAACTGGGCAGCGGAGGGGCTCAAAAACACTTTGTACTCCATGGGATTAGCAGCGTTTGCGTTTGCTATCCCAGTGTTGTCAATGGTAGCCGTGTATGGTATTATTTATTATCGCTCCAAAGTAAGCAGTAGGTTCATGAAAAACCGAGCACAGAGCAATGTAGATCAAGACAATCAGATCATTCGTCAAAAACAACAGAGCGCCATATTGCGGACTGTCTTAGTTGTCGTTGGTATGTTCGCGTTTTGCTGGTTGCCTTACACCATCGCTACAACATTCAAATTATTTTTCCACGAGCCCCCACCGTCATGGCTGGTTCATTTAGGTTTTATGCTGGCTGCTTCGAATAGCTGTGTTAACCCTGCCATTTACTCGGCGTTTGATAAGGGGATGCGAGATGAATTCAAGAGACTTTGCCTCACTTGCCGCGGGAAAAGAGGAATCTCTGAAGAGGACGGTGTTCGAAGTCGACGAAGCAGCTCGAACCTGGCCACGTATAACAACACCGTCGCGGTCAGGATAAGCAATGAAGCTGTGAACAAGATCATTGCCAAGGAAGGCAAAGAAATGAATGGCAAAGCAGCGCCAGTTAGAAGGGAACCAATGACCAAGTCCTACGACGACATGGTTGAGTTGTTTGTCAAAGACATCGCTCAAAAACTTCAAACGCACGCTCGAGAAACTTGGGTGTAGATTGCGTTATAGCTAGCGCTCACCTTTTCAGGTCACAAGCCTTCCGGTCTGCAGGTTGGCATCCCTGATTTGGGTCGTCACCAATTAATCAGTATATTTAACATAAATTTTAGATGCTTATGAATGGAAATCGAGATATTTACAAATATTGCTTCACTAGCCAAACGACCAAATCATGGCCCCATCCTAAACTCGTTTCTAGGGTCTCTCAACTTCTCGCCCTTCCAGAGCGAGAGAGGAGAGCGGGCATATAAAGGACCCTGGGAACTAGGTTGGCCCTATCCTTGATGATCGTAAATTGTAATATTCCAAGTTGAACATATTACGTGATCGTTTAAGAAACATACAAAAAAGTATACAGTTTATCAATTATCAATTAAATACAGTATTTATTTCTATCTCCCTATGACCTATGTACATATTGTACCACTGGAAAATAAGATCAGTGTAAATTTTATAAATTTACAATTACAATTCTTGGTGTTGTGGTTCCTTCTCTTTACTCTGTGTAACTTCGTCAAATCTTTCTTGTATAAAATCTCTCACTGCCTCATCTAGTTGTTCGGAATATTTTCCCAGAAAACTGTGGAAATCCTCCAAGGTTTTATCCTCCCTCAAGAGGAATTCCTCAACAAACGGCGGCTGTTGTCCTATCGACTGCAGAAGAGCAGTAACTCCTTGATCTCGGCGACGAGATTGGCCTTGGTAATTCACCTGCAAAAGAAATAAGTTGCAATCATCATCATAGTAATCATCATCGTCATCGTCATCGTCATCATTATCATCATGATTCATCAACATCGTGGAGACCTCATGTAACTTCACGCCACTCCACTGCCGTAGCAAGGGGAAAACAACTGGGGGGGACACATAACTGAGCGCCAAAAGCGCGAGCCGCTAGGGGGGTCTGAGGGCATGCCCCCCAGAAAATTTTGAAATCTAGAGGTTCGGAAATGCTATTTCCAGCGTTCTCCAAGAGCTATTTGTAATTTAAGCGTAAATAAATAAATAAATAAATAAAATAAATATACATTTATGACCTATGACCTATGATACCCTTCGCGTATCGCGAATTACTTCCTACACTGTCTCAGCAAAGCAATGCAGATCGAAAAAGTATAACACTTACAACGTCAATTACAAAATAACAAAACCAACTGTCTCTCAAGCAAGTGTTTAACCTGTCAGAGACTCAGAGTTAGGTATTAGTTCGTTATTTATCTGTCTGAGTTGCCTTAGAGGCAAACGCAGACTTCATCGGCCTGTCGAACAAGTGCTTGCGCCGCTGGTTGTCCCCACAGACAAATTGGCGACGACCACCACCATGTCAATACCATCCGCCAATTCTTTGTAGACACGCAGA